GATTCGTGATCGCGTTGATTCGGGATTGTTGAGTTTGGTTACATGGGGAATAGTTCTTGCTGTAGTAGTGTAGCAACAGCAGCAGCAGCAGCAGCAGCAGCAGAGCAGCAAGCAGAGCAGCAGAAGCAATAATGGTCATATTTTTTCAGCGCCTGCAACCTTGAAGCCGGGCAGATTGGGAGGCGTCGGCCAGCAAAGTGCTGCTCCGTTGGCTGCAGGTGCGCACGGGATGGGAGCCCCAAGCAAGCGCGCTCGTCACATTCTGCCCTGCAGGAGGGCGGTGCATCGGAGGCGTCTGCGGCGTCTGCCTGTGAAAATGGAATCTCATGGCGGTGCTCTGAGCTCGAGGTCTCTTTGCGGGCCAGGGCCTTGCAGGCCGCCTGGCGGGTGAGCTCGATGCACACGCTCGCGCCGTCGCGCGGCTTTGCGAGGCGCTCGCTCGGCTCCTGGCACTGGGTGCTCCGGAGCGGGAACTGGCCGAGCTGGCGCTCACGGCCCTTGTGGTTGTGGCCTTGGCCTTCGGAGAAACGCTTGCGTGATTCAGAGACGTGGATTCAGATTCCTGAGGTGCACGCGACGGATCCCGATGCCGCCGTGCGGGCCAGAGCCTCAGAGCTCAGATATCGCAAGGCGCGCACGGCCCAACAGGGATGGTCGGATGGCCGGATACTGTAGCCGGAGAGTTTTGTTTCTTTTCTTACTTTATGGCTTCTGGTTTGTGAGGAGGCATCGCTGCTGGGCCTGGGAGCCCTCGGCCGGACTTGCGAGAGGCGCAACTCCGAAACTCCGAACTCCGCATGCGCTGGGTGTGTGCTGGCTGTGTGGGCCGCGCTGGCTCGGAGTCGCTGCTGGCAGTTGCCGCGAGCTGGCACTCCCCACCTTGGCGGCTGGGTTGGACGACACAGAAGAGACCGTACGGGAGGCAAGGGCAAGGGCACAGAATTGCAAAGAGATGCATCGAGTAAACTTATTCAAGTGGTTCTGAGCGGTTCTGAGATCAATACCTGCAGGCTGCTGCGTCTGCGCTAGCGGAAGAGTGGGAGAAATCAAGTGCGGACCAGCTCACAGTCCTGACAGCACACTGCCATGTCTTCTCGCTCTGTTACGAGTATCTGACGCAGAAAGCGCTTGCAGGTGTAGTGGATGAGAGCGAGCCCTCAAGCAGCCGAGTGGTCCTTCGAGTGCTTTCCATCCTGGATCGGAGGGCAGGAGACGGGATGCCCAGGGGATGCCGCATAGTCGTCGTAGTCTGGTAGTCGAGTAGCTAAGGCAGCACGGAGAGCCCCTGTTTGCAAGCGTGGGCGGAAGCAACAGTCGCTGCAATGGAATCTTGTCCTAGAGTCGAACCCGCCACCCCGCGGCAGATGGCCGCCCCTCGTAGTATTAGCAGCAGTAGCAGTCGTCGTCGTAATCGTCGTCGTCCTCATCCTTGTCGTCATCGCCGCGGCAATATGGCGCAATGGCCCGGAGTGGGAGGGGGAGGGGGGGCTGGACAGGGAGGGGGTTGGGTACAGCGCTCTCCCCCGTTCGTTACGGGTAAAACCGGCGTGCAGGCCTCCCGCGCTGCCCGTCCCGACTCGTCGCTCCCGGCCACGCGCAGTGTCCGCACCTGCCCTCGTTCAAGTACACTCTGCAGCCGCATGCATGCAGTCCTCTCACTGACGTGGAGCCCTTCTGGCAGCCCGTCTTCTTGGAGGTGGCCTCGCCAGAGGACCGCCGCGCTCAGCATCACCGCTATGGCTAAGGCCCTGCCTGCGAGCTGCAATGTCCGCTTGGCTTCCGACCCGAACTCGTCAATCACCTCGGCAGAAGTGATGGCAACAGCGGCCAGGGTCTCGTCGGCGACAGCGACCGAGTCCTTCTGACCACGCAGAGACGGCCACTCCTTTGATCCGGTCGAGAGTGCGCCACACTTTGGCCTAAAGGCTTTTCAATATGGCTTGCTTTCCAGAATTTCCAGCCCGACCGACTCCTATACCGCTTGAAGGGCAGTGGAGGCCCGCGCCGACGACCCCTTTCAATAGCTCCTTGATATCTTTCTTGATGTCCTTGAAGGCTTTGCAGCCCTCCGAGGTGCCCGCTCCCAACCCACGGAATTTCTCTGTCATGGGCGGCAAACTCGGCACCTTTCCTTGTCGTCCAGGAACGCCTCCAAAGAAACCGATTGATCTGGGCAAACGTGGCGACACCCTGGCTGTGAGGGGGTGTCGATGCGAGACCTTTGAGTGACCTGGAGCCCGTGACTTCCTCCAAGCCCACGCGTCGAATCTGTCACGGTCTTCAACATCCACCGAGACCTCCGCGACCAAATTTCGGGTTCTCCAGCATCGCACCAGGCTCCTCAGGCTGCCCCGCGAAGTCCTCCGCAGAACGCGCGAGGCCTGCAGTCCACGGACGCATGCGCGCCTGCTAGCCCACATCACAACCCGGTCTCGCAGAGGCCACGGCACGGCAACAGTCCCCAATTGTAAACGCAGCAAAGCGGAGTTGCAACAACGCAGTCGCGCGATGCCATTTTGGCACGTGTACTGCAGTTTGGGAACCGCAGCGGTGATGCTCTGTATTATGCAGTCTGTGTGTACTGCACCTGTCCACCAGCTCTGTCAGGCTGGATGTCTAAGCACTACCACTGACAACAAGTGCCACAGTCTGCGCTATGGCGAACTGCAGCTAGCCGTGAGCCAACATTATACGCAGAACCCACATGCCAGAATGAGCAAGCCAAGATTGTAGGGTGGAGGGGCACAACCAAAACATCACCAAGCAAGACAGCCGAGTGACCGAACGGACAGTGTAGCGGAGATACATCTGCCTCTGATATAAGTGCGATAAGGCACGCAGCTCGCTGGCAGACTCCGCCCGAGCCTTGGAGGACTATTCGCGCAGCTTTTTTTTTCAATTTTGCCGTTGGAAGCGCAGATGTCAGGAGCTTACCAGCAACGAGGAGAAGCTATTGGTGGACATGGTGGATTTGACACAGGCACAGGCTTTGGCGGGCGGGTTCCTGAAATCAAAAAAATTTTTTGTATGTGTTTGCGTGTTTGCAAACGTGCTGCTGCTCTGTCGGAAAAGAGGCTCCGGCTCCGGTCCCGGAGAGCCAGGAGTTCTGTCGTTGGGCGTGGCCGGCCACGGTCGTCTAACGCCTCCTTAAGTGCATCATCGTATAGGAGGAGGCCGACATCGCCATCGCCAGCTTGCTTGGACCTCCGAACAAGCTGCCGCTCAGCTAAATGGGGGCCGGCCGGGAAAGAGGGGGGAGGGAAGGTTAAAATCGAGGTGCTCCTTTCAGGGGGCGACGCCATCTTGCAGGTCCTCCGGCGCCGTGAAGCAGGCGTGGGAAGTCGTCCACCACGAGGCGCCGGGTGAGACGATCCTTCAGTGCAAGATGCAGCACATAGCTGTGACATAGCTTCATAGAAAAAGGCTGGACAGAAAACAGTAAAGCACATCTTGACTTTGCATGACTTTGTTCAGAATTCGTGGAGGCTCAGGTCCGTTGAGAAGTACTGGCGCAGGCGAGCGATGGCTGGCAGCTGAAGGCGCGGGAGAAGGAGAAGGACCTCCAGGCCCGGGCCGACGGAGGGGCAGCGCGAGCGGGGCGAGGCGATGCGAGGCGGAAGCCGTTAAAGAAGGGGGGGGGGGGAGCGGGCGCCCGCGGGCCAGAAGAAAGTCTTCTTTGAGTTGGCCGCGGCATTGTCTCTGAGAGAGCTGTCGCCCGGGCTGCGCGGCATCCACATTCTCACTTCTCGAGCTTCGGCAGGATTTGTCGAAGGCCGCGGCCCCTCGGCGGCATTTCGGCCAAAAGCATTTAGACAGACCGGCGCGCGCGCGACCCGTCTTCATAGGCCAAGAAGAAGAACATCCGGAAGGCCTTGTGCGCCTTGCGCCCACAGCAAATCTGCGCCACAGCGCAGCCTGCAAGGAAGAGAGCGCCGCTGAAGAGCAGGCCCACCCGCCGCCCATGGTCTTCAGATGTCAAGCGAACGCAGCGAGCGAGGGTCGCGATCATGTTTGGCGGCTCTTCTCAGACCATTTTGGCCCACAGAGTGATTGTGATACACAGCAGTGATTCTTTTTGGCGGTTCAGTGCGTGCAGGGCACTACGAGGCACAAGTAGCACAGCAGGCCAGTCTCGGCAAATGTGGAAGCCGCAGTTCTCTCGCGTGGCGTGTGTGGGGGGCGGGCCATGGACGTGCCATGGACAAGGCAAGAGAGTGACAGAACTTTTCGCTTCGAGGATGAATCGAATCTGATTGAGGCTGGCAGCGGCGCCTTCGATGAGCGAGGCCTCTGGGTGCTACGGAGGCCACGTCGGTTCGGGCCGCTCAAAAGCCCGCAGTGAAAGCCCAAGCAAAAAGCAACGCTTGCCGCTCAGGGTCAGCACGATCTTCGCGGTGCGCAAGGAGAAGCTGGAGCGGGCCCCAGCGGGCCCCAGCGGGCCCTGCCTTAGCTCGCCCTCCGAATATACCGAACTCGTCGCGCGGTCCGTGGTACCCAGTTTTTGAAGGCGACCCGAGCGAAACCCTGGGACCCGGCGCAGGTGGGGGTGCTGTCAGAGGTGCCGTAAGGCGAGCCGGGCGAGTCCGCGAGTCCGCGAGTCGAGTGTGCGCACTCGTGTTATGCGCGATTTCAGCTCTGAGCTTTTTGGAGCACCGGCCCGAACTGCGCGACAGAGCACGATTTTCGACCCGGCTCGCCCCAAAGCACAACGAGGTGCAGAACCGGCCCGTGCTCCGCTTGCCGTGCCTCATAAGAGCATAGCCCGTGCTATCAGACGGACAGAATCAGGAACAACGCCACGATTTCGCATGTACACTCGACTGTGCCAAGAGCACGGCTAAGGACAAATTCCTTCAGCTGTTGGGCGAGGATGCGAATTCAAGCAGGGTGCTGAACCACTTCCTCAATGAGGCCCGCACAGAACATGCCCCTGACTGCAGTGCACTGCAGTGAGCAATGAGCTGCGAGGTGGAGGTTCCGACAGTCTTTTTTCATTTGCCGCTTGGATGCCGCCGAAAGCCCCAAGCATCCTTGATGTGATTGGAGAAGGGCTTTTAGGGTGCTGCCAAGGTCAGCAAGCGGAGAAAGTTGCAGCATTTCCACAGATCTGCCGACGGCGGGGAATCGAAAAGCCACGAGAGCCAAACAAGTTGCACTTGGCAGCAGGCCGCGCAGCTCAAGAAGAAGGCCTCGGTTGGCCTCTCTCTCTCTCTCTCTCTCTCTCTCTCTCTCGCTCTCGCTCGCTCGCTCACTTGCTCCCTCTTTTTTGTGCTGCTAAATGTCAGGAGCCCAGTGTACCCCCCAATGTTCACGATGCATTTATGGATGCGACATTGCCGAATGGCGTTGGTCTTGTCTGTTTTCTGCTTTGCTTGCTTGCTTCTTATCTCAGCCTGAGTAGGCTGAAAGCGACAACTACGGGTAACAAATGTTTTTTTTTTTGCAGTTTTTGCTTGCATCTTTTGTCGAGCAGGCTGATCTTATCTCCAGCAAGCTGAAACCGACAACTACCGCTAACAAAATGGGGCCTCTTTTTCTGCATTACTTGCTTGCTTCTTATGCCAAGCAGGCTGAAAGCGACACTTTGGCTCACAAATAAAGTAGCTTTTTTTGTGAACTGTTTGCTTGCTTCTTATCTCAAGCAAATTGCATGACACGATATGACGGGCAGGGTGTTGAAAAGAATATGCTCCTTCGAAGTTCGAACTCGAGGGAATATAATTTGATGTTTTCCAAGCTGAAGACTTGACACAGTCTTGAAAATGAAAACATTTTGTTGTGTGCATAGAAAATATGTTCCCCCGGAATATAATTCTATGCTTTCCAAGCTAAAGACTTGACACAGTCTTGAGAGCTTTGTGTTGCGCACATAAAGATTATATTCCACCGAAGTTCGAACTCCGAGAGAACATATTTTTATGTTCCCCAAGTTGAAGCGAGAAAAAGAGGACGAATCAATCCAAATCCAGGTTTTGGCCTGGAGTCTACAGGCTGTTTTGGTCCTATGTGCATACAGATCCAGGCTTTCAGGCCATAACCTGGATTTGGATTGCGTCCCGGAGCATAAACTTATATTCCCTCGGAGGAAGCTTGCCTGAGTGTGCTGTGAATTGGGGGAATTCACTGATCTCGGTACATTGTCTAGTGGAATTTTGCTCTCTCTGTCTCTCTGTCTCTCTCTCTCTCTCTGCAAAGTGCGGAAGAACTCTGCGCCAGGTCTTGGCCCTGGTGCGTTCCAAGCATGAGGTGGAGATCGACCTGGGCCCCGCCGCCGGTCCAGCGAGACGGCCCTGCGTGGTCTTCGTGGAGCTTGCGAAGGCTCGGGTGCAAGCATGAGGTATACCGTCACCGGATCACCGCTTCATAGCGCCTTTCGGCGAGTGGAGGGGATCATGGATTTGATCAACTCTTACTGCCACTCCGTCTACCTCTCTGTCCTCATGAACCCCGCGAACCAGCGGGGTTGGCCTCCGGCCCAGCTGTGCAACCAGCTCTGCCGCTCTGCCCAGCTGCTGCACTTTCTTCAGCGAGGTCGGACCTGATTACCCGGGACCTCTTGGACAAGTTTCACGGTCCTCCGCAAGTTTACGCATTTTACGCAGAAGGGCATTTCGAGACCCCAGCTTCAGCTTCAGCTTCAGCTTCGCCCCCCTGCAGGCTTTCTCGCGAGCCTCCACGTGACCGTGGGCCTCCGACAGGCCGGGCAAAGAGCGGAAAAGAGTCCTTGTGGTGTGGCTGTGGTATGCTGTGTCTCGGAGTGGTCTCGGACCTCCCGGTTCAGGGCCAGACCTTGCTGCCCTTGCCGCCCAGGGAGGCCGTCCAGGTGCCCGGTCTGAGGTGTTTGGACGCTTCGCTGCGCTTCGCTGCGTGCTCGCTGCTCAGGAGGGAGCTGGGCCAGGCCGCTGAGGGCAGGGCTCTGTGTCCAGCGGGTGCGGTTGTGATCGACTCGTCGCAGGCAAGGCGTCGGCCAGCTCCAGCAAGGCGCGGGGAGGTGCCTGTTGGGCCGAGTCGGCTGCGAGTGTCTCCAGGACAGGGTCCACGTGCTGGAGGGAGCCGTGCGGGCGCCCAGCGGGTTGCGATTCGTCTCGGCCTGCGGCCTGAGTGCGGCCTGAGGTCATTACCTGGACAAAGCAGGTCAGGTATGTACTGAAGCAGGACAGCGATAGAGAATAGAGAGGGCTCTCTCTCTCTCTCTCTCTCTCTCTCTCTCTCTCTCTCTCTTTCAGCTCTGTTTGGAAAGGCGCAACACCGAAGGCTAATTGAAGCCTTTGAACCGTTTGAGGAGCCGGAGCACGTCTTCCGCGAAGGCAGCCCTCAGCCGGATGCGGAGCTGCAGTTCTGGCGGAGCCGGGCCCGAGCCTGGGACGAGCAGGGGGAGCCCGAGCCCGGTGACTTGCCGGAGCTTCGCGGGAGACTTAAGGGGCTGAGGCCAACAACCTGAACTCCATCCACATGCAGTTGCAGATGGAGGGAGTGAAGCGTGCAGGGTCCCCGGCGAGTCCATGGATTCCATGGCTTCCTTTGCTGCGACTGGGCTTCTGGAGGTGCTTCGCTTCTTGGATGCGAACAAGAGCACCTATGTGGCGCCCTTCGCACGGCTGCAGAAGGAGGTGGAGGCGCGCAGCTTGCAGAAAGCTGAAAGCGCCCCTTGCTGACCCGGCGGCCCGGCCCGGCAAAGCCCGTGAGCCCAGGACGGTCGGGAGGAGGCGAACGACAACGTGAAATTCTTGAAGGCCTTGGAGCCCCACGTGGACGCCTTGCTCAACGAAACGCAGGACTTCGAGGCGGCCCCTTAGGTGAAGGGACACTCTGTTGGGGGCCCACAGGGGCCCAAGAGTACTCTGCGTTTTTACAGTCTGCAGGTCTTGGAGCAAGTCTTTGATGACGTCTTCCACGTTCTGCTCTTGGTCTGGCGGCCGGTGTCCGAGCAGCTGTCCGGGTAAAGGGCGGAGCAATGCGGGCTTTGCTGAATGCGAAGTGAGAGTCTAGGAGTTCGCACAGTTCTCAGACTCCTTGCAGGCATTCCAAGTACTACAACTCCTTGGCGCGGCTGGCCGTCATCGTGCGTCAGATCTGCAACAGCCTCATCGCGCAGGCGCCCCTCGGCCTCTGTGCGTCTCGTGACATCGCATGATCGGACCTGTGAAGAGGCCACTCGCTACATCTCGGGAAGCAGCGCGGCCTGCTGAGACCTGCCTGCGCTGCCTGGGTGCCCGAGTGCCCTGCGTTTGCGGTGCGGAAAAGGTCTTCGAGATGATCTTGCAGAGCGAGGCTGCGTGAAGCTGCGTAAAGTTGGGCCTCTGCGCTTTTGGAGAACTTTGTGGAGAGGCCTTGGAGTGCTACGACATGCTGGAGCGTGTCCTTCGAGCGATTGAATCGCTGCAGGCCACGACTTGAACACAGCGAACCGATGCTTCATGCCTTCACACACGCCTGTCGAATCCCAACTACCGGCTCCTGTGCAGCAGCCAAGACATCACCTAGTCAGTACGACTAGCTCTGTCCCTATGACTAAATGTCGCACCGCTGGCCTTTTCGGGCCAAGTGTTGACGGTCCTGAGCTAGAAGTTCCTGCAACAATTTGCCACTGTCGTTCTCTATTTCACGACCGAAAGTCTCCGTCCCTTCTTACAAATCAAGCTTGACGAAGTATCCCTCGCAACGAGCTGAACCCACCCTACCAGGACATGAGACAGCAGGTTGTCTAGCTCGCTGCGGCACTTCGGCCCCCTATGATCTTGGCCGCTGACAGGAAAACTTACACTGATAATGCCATAGTCGCATGCATCGCATTGCGCATATCGAGCATCCCCTGCAGCGGCACCTGCGATACTTTCGTAATGGGGGCGAGTGTTCGCGGCGATCGCAACTCCTGCAGCAGAATTGGTATGTCAACCATGGCCGGTCAATGCACGACAAAGGACTCCTTGATTGACATGTAAAAGAAATGGCCCGCCTGTGTTTGTGGCGCCGTGCGAACGAAGACGCCGAAAGAATCCCTGGAGAGTAGCGAGGCGAGCTCTCTTGGAAGCTGCTTAAGTGCATTGTATGTCAGACGGATGAGAGGTGCAGGGCTTTAAAGTCTGGGAAATTCGGAATCTACGCTAGCGCTGGTTGTCCTAACAGCAGATCACAATCGCCGACACGCCTTGCAGGCGGTAGCTCCACGTGAGTGACCTGACTTTGGCTTCTCGTAGAGAAATCCTGCACCTAGCTCGCTTCTACCCCAGCCGGAGAAATGGTTGCACCAGTGTCCCCCTGCCATAGGCCGTGTCCCGGCCGGAAACTGCCACCATCTCGCTGTTATCACGAGTTGGCGCACGGACGAATTGTGGCTGACAAGACATGCGTGGGCGAGCTTTTTCCTGGGCATGTGAGTCTGTCCCCCCGCCTTTCCCCATGGGCAAAGCGATGCCAACGAATGCAGCTTACATTTTACGCGCAGGTGGAGTTGCTCCATTGCTGATGTTCGTGACGCGTCCTCTTTAGGATTTGAGATCGAGGTTTGCTGCCCATTTGTGAAACACGTCGACGTAGGCCTCGCCCACACCGGGCATTTTTGAAAGGTTGCCGTTGCTGCAAGCCAAATCTACCGCAGTGCGAGCAACAGCATCATATGAGCGATTGAAGTTGCAGTGTGCGCATTGACTCGCACTTCGCTTCGCCTCGCCTTGCTGCTTTGTCCGCGCTTTCTTCATGGCAAACGCGATTGCGGGCCGCAAAGCAGCCCTCGAATGCTCGACTCGTGCAGCTCGCAGCTCGCGGTCGGCGCTGCCCCTTCTGCTTCCCCTCCGCTTCTGGACAGGACGCCTACCAGCGCTATCGGAGCCTCTCCGAAGGAAGCTCGGAGCAGCGGGGGCCTCGAACTAGGTGGGCGCGTTTGAAGTTTGAAGAGTGGAAGTGAAACGTCTTCTTCTCTCTGCTTCTCTCTCTTTCCGTAGATGGTGCAACTGAGGACCTTCTCGAAGGATGTGACAGGAGCGTCGCTGCGAGCTGCGTTGCCATCCCTGAGTCTGAGTGATGCAAATGTTCAACTTTCATTTTGTCTCTCCCTCCCTCTCTCTCCCTCTTTTTCTATCTGTCTCTCTCGTGCATACACACGCTCTTCTGAGGCTCATTCTCTGACTGAAGCTCCTTTTTTCAAATCTTCTGATATCACCTAGTGCGCGACAAACTCAGCGTGCTTTCATCGGAGACTTTTCAAGACACGTGAGATTTATAAGCGTTTTCGCAGTACTGTCGCCCTCTTTCTCCCCATGGCAGCAGAGCCCGACAGAACGCCTGGAATCGGGCCGGGGCCGGGGTCGCTCCCCGGGCTGGGGCCAGCTGGTCCCCGGGCCGGCGCGCCGCTTTGCAGAGCCGCCGGAAAGCCCTGGCTTTGGCTGCTTGTGCTCTCGGCTTTTGTTCTTCTTGGGCACGCGGCCGACACAGGGACGACCCAGAAGGAATCGGATCTGGAGACGACAGCGACGACAAGCGCCCCTCCGGAGTCTGATCCATCTGAGCCATCATCCTTCCGGTGCGATGCGATTTCGATTCTCGGGAACGGCCACGACGTGACGCTGCACCGTTGCACTGGGGGCACCTGCTACGCCACAGATATCATCTCGGCATGCGGGTGCCACAGCTGCAAAAGTTGCTTGTTATATCCGGCAGAGGAGGAGTCGTCAGACTTGAGCGGATTGCAGGGATTCTAGGGGCTCTGGCTCTCGGCTCTGGCTCCTCGGATGCCCTTTTTCGGGTCGCCTTCGAAGAGACGTTCTTTCGCTAGCGGTAGGTAGGGCTCGGCTAGGTCCGCTAGGTCCTAAGATCGAGCTCCTGCTTCGTGCGCTCAGGGGATACGGCACTCAGTGCTGCGCACCGCGAATCAGCTTGTGTGCTTCCGGGGCAACCTGTTTCGCCACGGTGCAGATTGAGACATGCGCCAGTGCGGCAACAGTCAGTTGAACTGGAGTCACAGAGACATGCCAGTAGCATGCTATGCTGTATAAGGCTTGCTCTTCTCTGTTCCCTTCTGCTGAGGTATGCCTTGGGCAGTTTGTTGTGCTCCCAAAGTCACAACGTGCCTCTCCCCTTCCTGCAGCCAGAACTTCCCTGCGTGCACGCAGAGCTAGCTGTGGGAGCTGGGAATTCCCTCGAGCTATGAGGGCAGCTGTAGTCTTTGCAGATTCCTTTTGGCCAAGGAGAGCTACACATGCTTCTTGCTGGGCCCACCTCAAAGAGGGGCTCACGAAAAGAATTCGAGATGCAGCGCCTCAGTACGCCACCATTGACCGCCGAAAAGAGCCGCCCTAGCGGTGGCGGCGCTTGAGTATGAGGCCCGGTGTAGCCGTTTCCGCAAATTTCCTGCAGGAGTGGGCGGAGTTGGAGGAGCAGCGGGAGGCGCCGCCGTAACCGTGGGGACTGGCGGTCCCGGTCCCCCGAGCGCGAGCGGGGCGGGGGGCCCGGCGGGCTCCGCCGTGGCCTCGAGCCTGGGCCTGGGTTTGGGGAGCGGTTTGGGGAGCGGCAGCGGCTGGCGCCTGCGGAGCCAAGTGGTCTTTGGCCGCCTGGAAGCTTTCTCCGAGCGGGCCCCTGCCCTGGCACCTGGCCTCGGCCCTCAGCGCAGAATCGAAGTCTCGACTTTGAGGTCTCGGACATCTTGGACTTTGTGAAAACCGTTTTGCAGTTCAACAAGCTCCAGAAGGTGGACATCGGAGGCGCCCCGCAGGGCCGCAGTGAGTCACATCAGGATTCCGTTGGCGAACCTTGCCATGGGAGGCACCAAGGGCAAGGTGCTCTCTGCCTCCGTCCGAAAGGTGCCACCCCCCGGCGGGCCCGGGAACGTAAGCGTGGCGTTAAGCGGCTGCTACACGGCAAGACAGTCTCTGTGTGTCACTGTGTGTCGCTGTGTCAGGTGCATGAGGAATTTGAGAAGGCCGGGGGACGAGGGGAGGAGGGGAGGGGAGTCCGCCGGGCTCGGAGCTCCGCTCATGTCCGTCATGTCCGCTCTTCGGCTGTCGCAGGCCGTGGGAGACTTTCGCCCAGGGCCAAGCCGGCCCAATCTTGCAAGGACAGACCGCGCCTCGAGCCACGGAGCTCAGGTCGGGTCCCCTACGACATCTTCGATGCCACCCGCCCTGAGTCTTCTTCGGCCCTAGAAAGACGCTGGCATCAGAGCAGTTGACTCTTCTTTGAGGTCAAGGAGACGGACTTCATACGCGACTTCCACGCCTTCCGGCTCACCATTCGTGCCTGCCCCAGCCGGAAAAGCGCCTCTGCACGCCGCATCTATGCACGCCGCGAGGTGATCTGGACCGGCGCCTGGGCAGCGTCCTGGCCAGCGCCTTTCAGGATCAGGACATGGGAGGCAGAGGTCGCCAAAAGCCGAGATGCCCTGTTGGTCTTGGTTTTTCCAGGACACCCTGCACGGTCGAGCGAAGCTCCTTGATGCCTTCGAGGCACCCGCAGCGGTCACTCACCGATTGCGGACCATCCATGAGCTCTACAGCGCAGGGGCTGCTGGAGCGGCCGGTCTTGCAAGCGGAGCTCGTGCGGAAGCAGCAGGTGGGGCAAAGTCTGAAAGTCGTGTCGGCAAGGCTTAAGTAGCCCGGCTATTCCCTGTAACGTCCGTAGGTGTTGATTGGCCAGTACAAGAGGGATGTGGAGGAGTTGGAGGCCCTCAACACAAATTTTGTAAGGCAAGGCATGGCAGGGCCGTGTCCCGGCCCTCTGCAGGCCAGCTTCGTGGCCAATGTGGACCGTGTGGAAGGCTGCGAACCAGGCTCCCCGGGGCCCGGTGCAACACGTCAGAGGCACTGCTCAGGGAGCCCGTGTTTTTTCCCTGAGATGCGCCGCTCTTCTACAACTTGCCACCAGTGGCCGGGGCTTTGTCGTGGGCACGCAGCCTTCGGATGCGCCTTCAGGAGAGCGGAGAGCCTGACTGGGACTAGCTGCGGGCGAGAGTCCTTCATTCGGCTCTGAGGACCCTATGCCCAAGATCGTGGCATGCAACGAACTGTTGCCACGTGGTGAGGCTGGCAGTCCCAGCTGCACTTTCTGCACTTCTTAATCTCGTTCTGGCTCTTCTCGGCGTCGTGTTCATTCTGTTTGTTGGCAAACATGAGGTTTCGCAAGGAAGTGGCACATCATCAAGAGGTTCATATTGCATGCTGATAAAGTCGATCCTCTACAACATGGGACTCAAGGCTCATGAACCATTCCCCCTGTCATTCCGACAGGCATTTCGTTGCCACTTCATAGGCTATTCATAGGTGCTCGAGTCTGAGCGCCAGCATGAGATGACCTCACCTCTCTGCCACACCACCCCCACTGGCAAAGCGGGGCCAGACCTTTCCCACAACACAGCATTTCAAGTACGCAAGCGAGCACAGCCTTGCTACCTGTATCCCAGAGGGCCATAGCTTGCTGTACAACAGAATCGTCGTGCATCATCTAGCATCCCTCCCATCGCCCGAGCATTGGATGCTTGCATCATGATCGTCGGCAAGTCCGCTACGAGACTAGCAGCAGGAATGGAGCACCTATGCAGGTTCGTTCGACATCACCGCCACTTGATCTTCTTGGACGTGCCATGTCTCGTGCACAAACAACTTAGCAGCAGGAAACTCAAAACCAAATCCAAAGGTTTTTGGAACCAAAAGCACAGGCGTCACAAAATCATCTTCCGAGCGCCTACACCATGCTACAGCACGTCTACCTCTGAGCCGCGCTTTCCTCCGGGGTACTGTGCTCATGAGAACCAAGTGCTTCGGACAGTTGGAGCAGAAACTGCTATCACGGCGCAGGAATTCTCTACCTGTTGGCACGGCGAATGAAGATACACAAACGCAAGTTGGCAGCGGTGCTCAGAATGAGACATCAAACTTCGCAAAATTTGGTTGAGGAAAGGTGACGTCTTTGGAAGTCAATACATTCGCAGCGAGGGTCACGTCGCAATGATATGGGCTTCGATGTTCAGAAACACAATTATCACCTGCTCTCGTGATTTTGTCCATGTTCTGAGTGCAGGAACTTTATACATTGACGCACGGAGCAGTGGTCTACAGAGCTTTGCTCTGTATCATCGCAGGGAAAAGCTGCCCGCTTGATGATGCGCAGAAGCCCATGTCAAACGTGTAGATGAGTGGTTCCGATGCAAAACATATGAAAACAATAAAATGTCCTCAGCTTCAGTTTGGAAAGATGTTGGTGACTTCTCGTGTTGCGCCATGATTGTCTCCAGAAGGTTCCTTCGAGCTTCAAAGAGCTGGAGGCCTTGCACTCCAGGACCTTGCAGGCGGCCGCTCATCCGTTTGCCTTGAGTTCCTCCTTTGGCGCCTGCCTTCCGTTGAGACATTGGATTCCTTCGAGACGCGGCGTTACTCCGATTGGAAGGGTGAAGTGGCGGAGGCTTCCGGCTTGGACGCAGCCGTCGAATGCTGAGCAAGCTGCCGGCAGGCCGCTAAGCGGCTGCACCTCCGCTTGCTCCGCCGACACGACAGGCCCGGCCTCGCCAGGGACGGGGGCAGCTTTTTCCAACTCTCGGCTTTCAGGACCGGGCTGTTGAAGGTGAACTTCGACCCTGCCCTGGTCCGCTTGTTGCGGGAGGCGAACGGCGGCGCACGGCGCCACAGCATGTGTAAACCTGTAGAAACAGACTGGCCGGGGGAGGTCCGCTTCTTCTTGATCTTCGGCCTGGAGGCACGTTCGCGTGATGGTGAGCCATGCACACGTTGGGGGTCCGGGCAGGTGCCGGAAGAGGCCTTGACCATCTACAGCATGGTGGACATCTATCGGAGGTGGACAAGCCAGCAACCGCCCCAAGAGTGCCAGGGGGCATCTTCTGCAGGGTTCTGCTGCAGACTGTGAGCCTCAGGCTCGACCACATCGTGGAGCTCTACAACTCGGTACTGACAGACCTTTTGCCCGTGGAGGCGTGTGCGAGCGTGCAGTACGGAGTACGGAGAAAGAGCCAAGACTGCGCCTAGAAAGGAGGACCAGACCATTTTTGCAGGAGCCCTTGTTGGAGGACCGGATCGTGAAGATGGACAACGCCTTGGTGGCACGGCTCAGCAAGCAGGGGGGGAGGGTCGGGGGAAAAAACTGTAGATCAGGGGTTTCCGGGGTTTCCACCACGGCCTGCGATTCACGCTTACCGCTCATCAACCTCATTCATTTTATTGATATGTTTTTTTTCCAAGATTTGCAAAAACATCAGTTAAGGAACCTATCTCATTTCATACAGTATTTTTTCAACGGTCATTTATTTTAAATATCCAAATATTGCAAATTGAGCTGTGATTCAACTAGTAGTTTCTTTCACGTGACAACACGTTACTTGACTCTGTCATTCATTGCTCAAGCTGCTCGGGGGAGGTCAAAAGGTTGATGGCCATACGCGTTGCGGGTGCAGCTACCTTGTCCGGGCTCACCGGACTTGTAGCGCATCAGAGCTGGCGGGCTTTGATTGCACAAGGTGTGGCGAGGGAAGTGGTCAGCTTTGTTGGCCATCAAGTCTTGTCTTCACACGGCGCTACTGATTTCTTGTGGCAAGGCGCGCGGGATTTGTTCGTGGTGGGCGGAGTGTTGCTATTGCTGGAGTGGATTCCATTAATAGTACTCTGTCTTCGCCTGCTCGTATATCTAATTCTGAGGGGCGCTTATTGGGTGCGTCGTGGGAGCACTGAACTGCTGCATCTCTGGAATCGTATAGGCGAGTGCAATTTCTCGCGTTATGGCTGCGCTACAGTCGGACAGACCAGTTTCCCTTAACCTGCGACGGGATGGCAGCCGCAGGAGTAGGCAATTCCAGATAGGCACGTTTGCGGTGGTGGAAAGGCCTCCTCATCACGACGAAGTGTTTGTGGTGGGGCATGGACCCGGCCCAGGAGAGATCCTTGCCCGCACCACCTCCGAGATGGAGGACAGTGGATCTGGGTTGTGGTGCTTCCAGGTGCTTCCGTCATGGTGGGAGCTGCAAGCCGGCGTCCTCCGCATGGGGTTGGGGCGGATGCAGTGAACTGGGTCTGCACTCCTCCGGCAAAGTGGTTTCCAACAGCGGCAGAGTCACACAACAAGGGATGGCGCAGTCCTTTTGCAACAGCTGCAGCTAGCGGGTGCAGCAAGTTATCCGGTGAACGCAGCTGGGACAGCAGGCCGGCTGGAGCCTGTGCCACTGCCGGTGGTGATGCCGGTGGCCCCAGCAAATGTCGGGGCACCAGGCGCGGTGGTGGCAGGTGGTGCGGCCGAGGTGTCCGGGCTGGGGCTTCAGAGCCATGGCGCCGGTGGTGGAGACGCCCACAAACCAGCTGGACCTACGCAGCTTGGAGGCGGCAGTAAAGCAGCTACAGGCCCTGTCCTTGGCGGAGTCGAGGAAGGAAAAGAAGGATCGGAAGAAAGGCAAGAAATGCAAGAAGAAAAAGAAAAGCCACAGGAAGGACAAGAAGAAGAAAAGGCGACGTGGGTCCAGCAGCAGTTGTTCCAGTCGCGGAGTCGCAGTACGAGAAGCTCGAGGAGCAGCAGCGGGAGTTCCAGCGGAAAGCCGTTGCGGTGGAAGGACAAAGGGAAGAGCAAACGCGTGAGCTACGACGACTTGTCCCACGTCGACGGCTTAAAGTGGAAAAAGAAAGGGGATCTGGTGGCATATGCTTCGAAGCATCCAGGTGCGCTGACGGCCCACCTCTTGGCAGGGGTGTACGCCAGGCTGTCAAAGGGCACATTGAGCAGGTCAAGCCAGCTCAGGGAGGCCTCAGTGGCGGCCTGGGCGCACCAGTTCACAGGACTCACCGAGATCCGGGATAAGAGGCGCTCACGTTGGCGGAGATCTTGGACTCTGTGAACCGTCGGGAGATCGAGAGGGCCATGGACATCTTGTGCCAAAGGATTCTTGCTATCCAGGCTGCGAAAATGAAAGGGGGCAGCTGGGAGAAAGCAGAGGCCATCGAGTTGGTCACCAACCAGAAGAGCCTGGCCAGCAGCTCCATGCTGGCCCTGACCAACTCCTGAGCACACTACTTCGACGGGCCATGGGTCCGTCTCGCAGCGATGATGTGGGGATCGCATTTGACGTAACTGCGTTTCACGCTGACATTATAATTGAGAGGTTCATTCACGCACATGAAAAAGTCAGTTGCCAAAGAGCTATTTCTTCGTTTACCTTTTCAGGTCCCGCTACTCTCTTCCTATCTTTGAGTAAAGCCGGAGGCTTCACTCATGGGGGGTGCCAAGAGACCTCGATGCCTATGTCGATTATGGCTTCGCCCCTTTGAGCTACGATGGTAACGTAATCTAGGAGCTTGGGTTCGCCATTGGCAACCAAGCTCAGAGGATACTCCGGGCAACCGTTGGCTACCGGATAAGAACTATGAAGCTCATCAATGGCAACGTTTGGCTCAAGCTTGAGCTCAAGGCTCAAGGCTCAGCAAGAGCAGCGGAGCAAAGCTCCTAGCTCAACAGTGACTCAAGTAACATACCTGAGTTAGTGTATTCTCTTTCCTTGTTGCCATATCATTGTGCGTGACGCTCCCGCTTGCACAGACAGCAGTGGATCTCCAAGCTTGCGAGTGAAAAGGAGAGGACCGCGCTTGCCTGCCAGCGTTCTGTCAGTCAACCCGACATCTACATCTACGTCAACGACTAGCTCGGTGAGGTGAGCTGTATACGATATTATCGTGTGTAAACCCTCACGCACCATGCTTTTCGTGCCCTTGCATTGCGAGACTCTTGATGACGGCGCGGCAGAGAGAGAGAGAGAGAGAGAGAGAGAGAGAGAGAGTGGAGTGAGGGGTAACCCTAGAACCGGGCTGAACTTCCCGCTTTTGTTAATTCGTCCAGACCCTTTTCTCAATTTTGGTCCACTTTGTAGCGGGACTTCTTTGCGACCTCCTGCCTTAGGGGACCTTTGACCCTTGTGACTTAGCTACAGGGGCTTTTCTTTCCGCTCGATCAATGCTAGCTAGGGGGTCTTTAAACCCCTTCCTCTCCGAACTGGTTTTTTGAGATTGCTTGAGCCTAAGCTCAGTTGTACAATACTGACGGGCCGCTGAGCCAACCCCATTTCGCTCCACAGCCCCTCACGGGCTCCCAGCACCTTTTTCCGAACGCTCCAAAGGGGCTGTTGCCCCACCCTAGTCTTTTCATTTCATTTCTCAACGGGGCCTAGCCCCATGCAGGCTGGACGGACAGTTTGGTGCGATCGGGGGGCGGCAACCCCTTCAATCCAACCGATTGCACTTTCCCTTTTTTGCATCTCTCACCTCTGGCACCCGCAAATGGCGGGGGCGCACNNGCGCGCGGTGTAGGGGGGCTTGCTCCCCTGCACCACAACCTTGTGGAAAGAAAGAGAGAGAGTGAAACACCGATCCTGCCAACGAGCGACGTTCCGATGGCGTGTGCGTCTTCGTCCAGGGCCCACCAATGCCGCCGGGGCCATGTATGGCACTGGCACTTGGCAAAAGCCTCAAGGCCAGGCTGTATTGCCAGGTCTCGTGTAGTCCAAGTTCGCATGCTGCAGGGATGGGAGCAGTTCGCCGGCTGCCCGTCGTCATCGTTCTCTGAGGACAGTTGCATCCAGCTTGTGGTCGTGAGCCGTGATTGTGCGCGTGCCAGGACTTGTACACGTGTGAGAAAACAACCTCCCCATGCCGCGTTCGAATGGTCTGCAGCTTACGTAGATGTTGGTTGTGGAAGACAAGGAGCGCTACAAGTCCTGGCAGCAGAGGCCCATCTGATCGGAAACGACATGATGGACCCGAAGAACTCTGCTGGTTCAACTTCAAGGCAGGGCACTTTGCCGTCTCGGTTGAGACTAGAAACTATACCAAGCTTTAGTTGTGATTACAGTGAGCAATACTCGCTGACCATACTGAAATGTGTAGGAGTCGGACTGACTTGCAATTGTGCCAGGTTCTGTTTATGGATATCGGCACATCATCATAAGCATTAGCCATGAAGTGACAGGGCCTTCCTTCAGCCCTCCTCGACACAGCATGACATGTCGCTCAGTTAGAAGTGACGTTTACTTCTTCCTTCACTTGTGTTCAGGGCCTACAAGGACGGCGATCTGTGTGATGGTCTTGAAAATCTTGGTGCACTCCATGAACTCAATATAGTCGCTATTCGTATTGATCCGTTGGCGGCAGTTGGCCATTAGGGGATTTGGGTCCAAAAGACCGCATATGGAATTGCTACAGGCGCAACATGGACTCATCCAAAGTGGAAAAGTGCTGGGCGGTTTTGGTTCGCCTCCTCGCAGCACAGTTTCGCGTGCCCTTCACGCCAAGTCGATTCCGCACAGATGGGGTCCACGGCCATTGAGACCTCGTGATGCAGTCTGGGAGCCACGAGCGCATTGCACGGTGGGAGAGCAACAGGCAGTGTATGTGGGGTCAGTGCTTTTCCTCCTTAGCATAGGTTTGTTGGGCGAAATTGCTTGTCAGGGAGGTTGGAGTGGGCTGGAACATCCTGCCGATCCCGGGCCACCCTATCCATCGTTCTTTTGCTCAGAGGAGGTTGCTCGTTTTTGCAAGTTCTTCAAGATGCAGTATCGTGAGGTACACCAATGCAGATATGGAGCAAGCAGCAAAAAGCCCACTGGTCTTTTGCTCCCCAAACAGTGCGCTACCACCCACGAAAAATGCAATCACAGCCGAAAGCATGAAGCGTTGCTCTGGTTGAATCCTCAAGGCTTGTTTCGCACAGGTCCCGCGCTGGCTACAAACTTTGTGAGCGGGTGGCAGCGGTGCGTCGGAAAGGCTACGTGAGACCATTTTAAGGCTTTCCCCGTTGATCGCACTTGCAAGGCCCGTGATCCATGGGTCAACCTGCATCATGTTCAGTGGGACTGGCCCCAACCGCGTGCACCGTTTCTTGCTGAAAACCTTGAAGCATTCCACGCGCGAGAAGTACCTGGAGGCCCTCGAGCACCTCAGCAATGATTTAAAATCTGCAGGTCTTCGATGGCATAGCATGACTGAGGCTGAGCAGGATGGTTTTCTAGCTGAGTGGCTCCTGGATGGATATGAAGCAGCAAAGGGGCGTGCTGAACACGGATGGGCACTT